AGAGCTTTTGGTAACAATGAACTTATAAATCCTACCACAAGCTACATTATTACTCATAATAATGAGATTCATCACCTCAAATTTTGCGTAAAAACAAGGAGCCACTGTGTAGTTTGTATCAGCCATACTTTTAAATACAGAAGCTAGTTGAGATTTGTTTAGATCTAGGATCACACTCACTCATTTTGCGATGAAGTACCCTTCCTGTCTTTAATATAAGACATATTTAACTAATTTGATTATATTAAGGAAGTTAGTTAAGTTAGTTAATTATAAAAAAAAAACATATTTTTCCTATAATACTATAATTATCTTCCTTAATATCCTCCCTTTCTCTTCTACTTGATTATGGTTGAGAGAGTATCCATAGGGGTAATTTTTTTAAAAAAAAAGAAGATAAATATGATAAACAGGTTTTATATTTAGAACCAAAATCAACTTAACAATTAGGTTTTATATTAAAGAGCGAAGGAGTAATAGATTAAGAAAATAGTGATTGAATGAATTTAAAGTCAAATTTTGACTAATCCGTGTTCATCATTGATTCTTGTCTCAATTCTTGTTATCCCTTGTTTTTTTTTTTTTAAATTTCTTTTACAAGCTTCTTGTGATCATAAAAAGGTCGGCATCGCTTTTGGTCACTTCCAAAGACTTCTTGGATTGTACTAAAACATTCGAATCTATATATTGTATCCATCTTTAATTTAATTCATTGCCAAGCATTCGCCAAGCCCTGGGAATGCTTTTCAATTAAAATATTATAACAAAATACTCTTTGGTCATAAATATAAAACTTATTTTATAATGTAAATTACACTATAAAATTGGTTTTATATTTAAGATCGGAAGAGTATATCATTTTTAATTAAATTATTTATCTGGCAAATTGTATTTCAAGCATATAAAATTAAGATCCATACTTTGATATAAAAGAAAGTCAAATTACACATGAAATAGTCAGGATATATAATAATTTTACTTGTCTTTTGTAAGATACAAATTTCTAGCACACATAACTTATCAATATTAAAGACGAGAAAATTTATAAACAAAATATGAACTGGAAAATAGAGCTGATAAAGCAAGCTAGCGATGCAAATATAGGCTAGCCTGCAACGGTGCAAGCCCACCAAGGCGAGAATTCTTCTTTTTTTTTTTAATCAAAAGCTATTATTATTGGTATGGGTTGGACTTAGCTTGAAACGTTAAAATTAGACTTGGAGTCTTGAACTTGAGCAGTGAATTATAATCAAATAATGTAAAGATTAATTTATAAGTTAAGAAGATATTTTGAAAAAAACTAACACATATTTTTTATAAATAATTAATTTAACTAGTTTTTTATTCAAATTAATTAAATAGATCTTTTATGTGTGTGTGTATATATATAAGTATCACATGTTTATTTAATCTTATAAAGACATGTATAGTAATGCAACAAAGAGGTGAAAAATAAAAGATGGATAGTGCTCTTTATATAACATCAACAATAACAACAACAACAAGCCTTACCCTACTAGGTGGGATTGGCTACATGAATCACACAACGCCATCATACTCTGTCAACAACCCAATCTTTAGATATGTTTTTGATCAGGAGGTCTGGTTTAATAACCTCATTGAGCGTTCTTCTTGGTCTTCTTCTGCTCTTTTTTATAGGACTCCATATTGTCATATCTATCCTCCTCACTAGAGCCTCCAATGGCCTTCTCTACATATGTCCAAACCATCTTAAGCGATATTCAACCATTTTCTCTTGGATAGGTGTCACACCGACTCTTGCTCTAATATTTTCATTTCGAATCTTGCATGTTCTTGTATGACCACCTTCCATCTCAACATCCTCATTTCTGTTACCCCAACTTTGTGCTCTTGTTTTCCTTTCATCACCTAACATTCACTACCACACAACATAACTGGTCTTCTAGCAGTCTGATAAAAATTTTTCTTAAGCTTCTCAACTACCTTCTTATTGCAAATAACTTTAATAGTTTTCCTCTACTTTAACTAGCCAGCTTGTATTCTATGAGAAACGTCTCCATCAATTTCACCATCCTTATATATAATAGATCCTAAGTATTTAAACTTTGATACTTAAGGAATGATTTGATGGAAAGAAAATATCCTCGGACATAATATTGATCCCTTCTATGAAATTTATATCTTCGACTTCTGTTTCAATGTTATTTATTTGTGCTATTTTCCTCACCATGGTTAATTATTTCGCGTTGAAAACCATATATTTAATCTATTCTAAAATTTTAATAAATTTACGGCGTCTATTAACATATGTTTAACACTTTGGTATTTTTAGAATTATATAGAATTAATTATCATCATCTAATTGGTTAATTCTAAGAATCATTTTGTAAACAGTTTCCTAATACTCACGTACAAAAAATATGAGATATTCACATCCCTGTTACCAAGTTCTTATGAAAAGGGTATGATTTTTGTACCCGCCGAGTGCTGTCCAAAACTACAGAGTTAAATACAAATTTGTTCCGAAAGTTTTTATTTAGAAGTACTGGGTATTTAGAATTGTTTTAGAAGTAAATTTGCTCTAAAAATTTAAAATGATAATAATATTATCCCTTACTGAAAATAGTAATGTTGACCGTTAATATTTTTAATGATAGAGGGCAATAATGTTATTATTTTAAATTTTCATATCAATTTGCTCCCCAAAAAAGCTTTCAGGTACCCAACTTTCTTAAATGAAAACTTTCAAGACAAATTTGTACTTTAACCCAAAACTATATAATGATCACACTTTGATTGAAAAATGATGAACTTGGTATTTAAACGGGAAATTGACATCAAAGATACAACATTACACGGGCGATTATCTTATATTGGCCAGACATATATTTAAACAGAAGAGAATTTTGGAGAAAATAATTGTGGGAATCCCATTCTAGCTCCTCATGGATGGGCGATTCAATCCCTGATCAATCTTTTGACAAACCACATACTACCTCTAGTTCTTAATATAATAGTTAATTAACTAATTTGAGTAAATTAAAAAAGTTTGTTGAGTTAATTAATTGTAATAATTCTCTATTGTCTTTCTCAGAATACATTTACTAATCATGTATTAACTAAAACTATCATTTCATTAAATCAATAAACATTTAACATGTGCAACTATTACAAAAACTATTTTGAAAAAAAAAAGAATAAATATGATAAATAAAATAGCTTGGAATCTTATATTTAACATCAAATTAAAAGTAAAACTAGTTTTGTTATTAAAAACTGAAGGTAATATTACATAATGACGAGTGAACACTACCCTATCAAAATAACACCTCTGGTCCAAACTAGATCTTATAGAGGAATATCTTATCTGTGTATAACTAAAATGCTTTTTCTGTCATAGCTACATCTGTTTCCTATTTTTCTGGTTTTAAGGGCATCACTCAAGAGAAAGGAAACTGATTTACCCTTGTGTGTTTGATAATGAACCGCTCATACGGATAAAGGAGAAAAGGGAGGAAACCTGTAATCCGAATAAAAAAGAAAAATAAAATTGGATCGAGGGTCCCTTTGATTTATTGGGCAGATCCAAATGATGTGTAATCTGAGCAAATTTACAATAAGGCCCACTTACATTTAAGCACCAGAAAGTCTAGTCTGTTACTAGATATACTGTGTAATGGCAGCCTTTTGGTGATACACTACTTGTCGCGTTAACAAATTCAAGAAGATTTGGGGGGGGGGGGGGAAGTAGGGGAATAAAATCACTTGTTTTGCCATATTTGCCAAACCTTCAACTAGTTGATGGGAGAAACAAGCGCTTTCACAGCAAATTCTACCAAAGGCAAAGCATTTATCCTGTGCATTCACCGGAGCCTTGGTGAAGTTGTTGCAAAATCATGTGAAACTGCATATGGACAGGATTGGACAAGACATGACCATTGCTTGGTACCCTGCCTGAAAAATAAACAAACTGAAAAATACAACCCATTACCCAACCCTGTCCATGAAAAGCTTTTGTAAGTTTGGGCTAGGCAAATACAGGCTAGGCAGGACTGACTTCTATACCCAGCAAATTAATATATTATATTAATTAACTAATTATTTATATTCCTCTAAATAATCTAATGTAACTTTATATTAAAATGACAACTTGACCCTAATTTAGTTATTACTAATTAATATACTATGAAACTACATTTTATAGTAGTTAAGGGGAGTGAACTATGACAAACAAAAATGTTATTATTATATTTTATTAAACTTAATTGCTTTTCTAGTTTCTAAAATTTCTTAACCAAATATGAATTTTTTTTTTCATAACTCCCAAATACTCATGGATCAATTATACAAATTGCCAATAGTCATAATGTTTGCATTAAAAAGGAAAATAATAATACAAATCATAGTAAATGATAATGTTTAACGCTCGAAATCATTTGAAAATAAATAAATATAATAAATACTGAATATTAATGTAACAGTGTATTTGATTCAAGAGATAAATATGAGACGAATAAAATATATATAAATAGAATTATATATATTTTGGCAGCGTATCATACCCTGCCCAGCCATGCATGACAATTTGCCGGCTTGAACATGCCTAATATTTCTTTTGGGCCACCTTTTTTTTAGGGCAGGCTGGGATTTTTTTTTCGGGTTTGGGTGGGCAATACGGGCAACCGGGCTTCATGAACACCCCTACATGCCCTGCCGACCTCCCTTTTAACAAAAGGTCCATATCTACATGTTGAACGGTTAAAGAACAGCAACCTTTGGAGGTTCAAGTGGTTTTCTCTCCCTCTCCGTCCCTCCCTCCCCCTCTCTGGAGATGAACTATTCGAGTCATCAACTGAAAATTCAGTAACCTTCAAAGTCTTCTATCGAAGATATCTTTCAAGGCAACCGGATTAGCTATTAAGGTAACTAAAATTTCAAAGAACTCAAGTCAACCAAAAAAAAAAATCTGCGCAAAGTGCAGTGAATGAGCTAAAAAAATCATCTCCCCAGGATTTATGACTATCAACAAGAAATTCAGATTCAGAAATGAGGAAGACAATCCCCAGCTTGTGAAGTACAACAGTATGAAGAGCACTGACATATCCTGATTAAGCACCCTATTTCAAAAATCAGCCCTTGATGGTATAATGAATAGTACATATTCCGTTTATATATTACTGGAAACTTGAAAAATTGAATTCATATAATTTACACTAACATTTCATCACTTGCGCTGAAAGTCAGCAGGTTGTAGTAGAGCATTATTCAAATCTAATACTTGTTACGCCTACAAAGTCAGAAAACAAGGAAGCACTTCGACCGATTTATATAATCAATGGTTCTGGCTATACCTTCAACCAGTTGCTGGCAGGAAGACCCTTCTAAGCTCCTTCACAGTAACCTTTTTCCTGCAGGTGGGGCATTTACTTTGCACTTTTATGGCAGCCCTAATGCAATTATTGCAAAAAATATGACCACATCTTGTTGACATTTCTTCTACTAGTGGGCCCATACATATTGGGCAGTTAAAGACAGGATCCTTTGGAGGTTCTGGTGGCATTCTTATGTTTTCCGTCTGTAAATGAAATATTCAGGTTAGCAATTTGAGTCCCGAAACATTTCAGTCCACTACTGACTATATTTAAAAAAGTCTCAACTCAACCTATCAAAATAACATTTCAAAAAACCACCATATAGTAACAATTTTTATTTTCCTAAAATTTTTAGTAAGGATGTAAACATTTCTATTGATTTCTTTGGTAAAAATTAAAGCATAAAATATCAAACCCAAGTAAGATTTCTTGTTCTCTATTTTCATGCTGATGACAGCTATTGGGTGAATGCCTCTTAACACGCCGCACCTAGCCTTGCCTTGCTCCTCAGCACACTTTCCCCTCACTCCTTTCACCTAACTTGAGTGGATAGTCAATGACCGGTCATCAATTGATCACCAGACGACCATGAGTTCCCTGGCATTGGAAACTTCAAACCTTCCCAAACTCTACTCCAGGAGCATAAATTTCTGATTTCTTTTCCTTCTATGTTACAAGAAATTTCTTTGGTCTTACCTGACTCAAGGTTGGCCTATATGTGGATTTTAATTCTTGTTGTTGATTGTGATATGCTTTTTGTGTCGATATGGTTTATTGTACATAATTAATATCGATTGTAGATTAATTAGGATATCATTTTGTAATTATTTATTACTCATAAATGCATTGTCTTTTATCCTCACTGTAAATAAGATGCTCATGCAGATCAATACTCGCTGGCTGCATTTCTCCTATTTACTCTAGCTCTCGTCCTCATATTCTCGATGTCTTCCTCAAATTTCTCTCTTGCATCCTACAATGTTCCTCCCTCCCATACTCCCTCTCCCTCTCAATGATTGTTAACTGAGCCAATCACTTTCACTGATCTAGAGCATGAGCAGCCCGCACATTAAAAATCATGCATTTTAGAGCACAATTCCATTGTGGGACCAATGACCCAGGTGCTGCTGCTACTTATGATGAGTAGAATAGGTACTGGCGAAACGATGAAATGATGAAATAAACTTCATATGTGTAGAATTAAAATAGTGAACTACTCCAGGACACCCTTTTCATCAGCAGCACCAAAAGGCATGCAGAAAAATCTCCGAATGTTCAGTTGCATGACGTTAAGTTAAAACCATTTCACTTTAGAAGCAACCAAGAAAATTTATCCATGATAAGAACACATGATGATAACCGTTCCTTGATTTCACCACCAATGGCATGAAAATGTGTTAAAGAGGTTGAAGGTAGCAGCAATCAAAATGACAGGAATTTTCTTCAATTAGAATAAACCACACACTAGATGCCTGAGCTGATAAGGCTTAATGGCAATGAGAAATAGGAGATACTAAAATCAACATATACACAGCAAGAAAACAGAACACATTCATAAGTTATGTATCTGGAAAAAGAAGCATAGGACATAAAGTAATAACATGAATCAAAAGAATTGATTACCATTGAACTGTTACTTGCTTCCAGGTTTACATAAAGATCGCAGTTAATAATTGTTCGGTTTGATGAACTTCTTTTGCGTTTGTTGCGATCATTATTGATCCCTCCTGTCCGCTCCTCTGCAATAAACATGAACAACAAAGATATTAACAACTACCATCAGTAACCAAGAAACTTAACAGACTGGGTGCAAAGGTGCTCCATATATCGCAGATGGTTGTCCGTCAAATCCATTGTACTACTTCTGTTCAACTGATGCAGTTTACCCTTACTTACTTAGTATTTACATGCTTTCTGAAGCTTTGCAAAGAGTTATCTTTCATTAGTATTGTTGCAACCTTTACAATCTTTGTTTACAGTCATCATGTAGTCAGTCGAGGTAAAGTGTGAGACAGACGCAAATATTCATGTCAAAAGCAATACACACAAACATAAAACTGGTACCAAACAAGTTCTTGCCATTCCCCAAAATAGTAAAATTGATGCCCTGTCCTGTTCTAAGAACCACATAATTAGTAAAGTGATTAATCAGACCATCAACCCCCACCACAACCTAGAAACATTTGACATTCTAGGTAAAATCTGAGTCCCAAAGAACTTAACTCCAGCACGACCTACCATTGGCTTTCCTCAGCAAACAATTGAAGAAGTTATGATTAGAATGAATCCCATTCCTCTCTGAATAGACAAACAGAAAGAGCTGTACCAGTGAAAACCCACTGCCCCACAGTAATTTATATAGAATATGAGCCACAGAGCTAGTGAGAACGGGAGAAATGTAGCCAGTGAGATGTGGCTTACATAAACTTCTTATTTATAGTGAGAAGCCTAGGAAAACATAATAATGGTTAACGATTATAACCAACGGAGTTTAGGATAACAATCGGACAACACTCGAAACAAGCACTCACAGCACAGCACATGAGGGTTTGAACACAGTTGTCAAAATGGACTTGACTCCCCGTTCAAGAGAGTCACCATTTTTATGTCTTCATAATGAGTTAAGTCACTTGCAAACTCGTCTGGATCCCAAAGTCATATAAATTGCGCGACTCACATAAACTCTACCTCAGCATTTTTGAAGTGACTAGGGTGAGTAACCTTTGATAAAATTGCTGAACCAAAAGTTTGCTGCATTGAGGATCAAACCCCCTATGCAATGGTTCAGAAGCTTGAAATACTCAACGAATGGAAGAAATGTTTTATTATTTACCTCCTTTAATATGGTCAATGAAATTGATTAACCAATAAAGCACAACTCAATTTGTAACATATAGATTATATTTTGTGCCAAAATTACTTCAAAAATGATAAAATTAGGCTCAATATAATTCCATGTTGAATTAATTAGACCTTTGGTATAAAAAAAAAAAAAAAGAAGAAGAAGAATTAATCAGACCAGCTGTTTTCTCAAAAAAGGGAAAAATTGTATTTTTAATTAAAATTGTACTCATCTTATCGGTGCAGTATTTGAACTTAAGGGCCTGTGATGAATTTAAATCTTCAAAGGTTCACTACTGAGATCAAATTTGATGGTCAAATAAAATTGTCATAGTTTAAATAACAAATGAAATAAAATAAATACATTAAAAACCGATTATCATGAATAAAATTAAGTTTATTAGAATTTTTTCCTTAAATATTGTACATCATAAAACATACCTAAATTTCTTTCCATTTATGGCAATCTGGATAAGATTTACATTGCATATTATATCTTAATTATATTTCACATTTATTAATATAATTAAACTCTTATGTTTTTATGATGCGAATTTACAATACAAGTTTATCTCTTCACGATTTTAGTTAAACTCACAATTATGACAACCTTACACAGCATATCCACAAGAGGCTAAGTTTCTTCCCAGAACTCCTGTAAATTTCTCCATGCCATTTTCGCGGAACTCCCTACATCAAATACTCAATAAAAATGCCAATGTCTCTTCTCCAATTCAACCAGCACAACTTCCTAACTGCCCCTCAGTTGTCATTGTTCTCTAAATTTACCTCCTTTACAATTCCAACCCACCTCTTTTTTTCTTCATTTTTCTTTTCTAGTCAGTCTTTCTTTTTTTTAACACACAAAGGACGAACAAAATAAAGCAGCTGTATCCTATCTCAGAGATGAGCTGGTTGTTCCTCCTACAATCAGTCTCAAGAAAATTAAGCATCAATGAGTAAACACATCATAAAAACCTGGTGGAACAGAAAAAGCGTGCTTAGACAGATGATCACTTGCTTCATTGCCACTCTACTCCTTTTGATTCTTCCAGAATATCCCAGAGATCTATCAGTTGGACAGCAGAGTGGAATGAAGCAGAGCATGACAAGGAGTAAACTGAATATCATGCAGTGTACATAAAATAATATCAAGTTATCAACAGGTGAATCCAATTAAACTACCACATTCATATAGATTTTAAAGGGAAAAGTGGCACAAGAAGATAACCTAAAGTCAAAATGATTTCAAAAGAATTAAAAAAGGAAGTTCTTGAAGGATTATTAAAATTCATTTAAAAAAGAAATGCCATATAGGAAAACACACTGGAGGAAAGGATTGCCATGTTACCTAAATCCACATCAACTATAGTCCTCCTACGATTTCTTCTAAAATTGTTTTTAGCCTGGATGAAAGAAAATTTGGAGAAAAGATTAGTTTCCAACACATGAATCTGATGCAGAATTTAAGATAACATAAAAACAGAGTACAGAAGACTGCAGTCATGCCTCAGCAAAAGCTCTGGGACTGGATTCAACAACATCATCATCTTCAATAGCCTCCACATCAATCATCACAGGTTGTGCAACTGGCAGTTGTTGGCCTGCTTGAACCTCTCGAGGCACCAATTGAGTTGAAGGCCCCCCCTGTTCCTGATTCTCACTTGGCGGGAAACAGTTCAGGTCCAAGTTCAAAACTGTCTTCCTCCTACGACCACTTCTGACAGCAGGTCCCCTGACTGTTTGGGTGCTCATTATGAACTATATTCCCCTATTGAAATTATGAAACCAGAAGACCCTGAAATTACAAGGCATGAGATTATTGTTCTGAATAATGATAAATCTAAACAGGCAAAAATTAACTGCTGGGAACCAGATGAAGCACAAAATAGCAAAGAATTAGAAGTGCAGGAAAATCAAAAAAGAAACACTAGATATAATTATATCACTACTTGTTCACATCCGCTCAACTCTGGAGAAGTCACGAATAGAAAAGTTTCATAAGGCTTCAAGATTTATTGTGGGCAAAAAATAAAAACAAAGAAACATCAAATAATCTGTAACTTAAACATGTTCAGACCATAAAGTAACAATAACTACTCACAAAACTTATTGAGCCAAAAACTTTGGCAACTCTTCTCCTATATCTTCAGCAGTTGAGCATTAAGGGAGTCCAGTCAGAGTCGAACAAAGTACACAAAAATACAGTCAAGAGGATCACAATTAGTGAGCGTAAATTAGTGAGCGTCAAAGGATTATTCAGAGAAATAAACCACAAGTCACGCATACTCATGATAAATCATTCAGAAATAGTAGCCGACAAACAAGACCAAGTTTGACCAGCAAGCTTTACATATTCAACAACTTCGAAAAAGCTAAGTAAATATTCCAAGCAAAACCGGGCCTTTTCACGCTAGAAATATCATTTATGGATATCGTACCTAAAATCAAAACAAAAAATAAATAGTATGCGCAAAAAGAGGGGGAAGCATGTGAAGAGCGAAATTTTCAGGCACCAATATACAAAAATTGAGACGAACAACAAGTAATGCAAAGAGTTGATCAAATCAACGAATTGAATCCGAAACGGAGAAATCAAACCAATCATTGAGAAATCGAAAGCGAAGCAACCGACCTAATCAGCCGACTAATGCACGGAAAAGGAAAACGCGTCAGGAAACGGAAGTGAGCAAACGAACCCTTTCAACCGAAGAAGCAAATCGGAGGCGCAAAGAGCTTCGCAGACAGAGAATCGGCAGATTCTTCCCTTTTCTATCGATTCGAATAAGGAAGATTCCGCGAAGGAGAAAACGGAGAGGGCGAAGAAGCCGGTTCTGAGCGGAGTGCGTCTGAAATAAGTTCCAGCACGTCACGAATGACGAAGCGGGTGTTCCCACGTGGCAGGGGTTTACTTTACAGTTTACGCACGTTTTTTTTTTTTATCCGAAGTTTACGCGCGTTCTATAAAAACTTAAATATAAAAACTTAAAAGGACTTCAGTAATACTAGTAGTAGTAACCATTAATCAACAGCATCCCATCACGGTCAATTTAAGTTTTCTATAACATCAGAGTAATATTTTATGGTACTTTAATTATATTAATCTTTCATTGGCCAAAAAAAATTATATTAGTCTCTCCCTTATTTCACCGTTGTCCATTCGAATGAAACCATCAATATTGTGAAAAAAATATTCTTAAAAAAATTAAAATCATGTTTTTAATTAAAAAAATTATGTTGAAGTAAATTTTATTTATTAAGTTACCTCATCATGTAAATTTTTAAGTTATTTTTTCATATTTTTTGCATATTTAAAAAACAGAGGAAAAAAAATCAAAATTTTACCATTTTATGATTAATGTGAAATAATTTAAAATAATATGCTTAAAAGATTATTTTAGCTCACTTATGCATTTAAAATAAAACTAAATAAATAATTTAAGATAAATGAGATTAAGAATTTAAAATTATTGAAATGATAAAAAATTATGATCATAAATTATAAAATTATTTTATTCTATAATATGATCAAATTTAATCAAAAGTTTGGATATGTTAAGAATTATTATTTTTTGAGGAAACATGAGTGTTGAAATTATTCTTAATAATAGTTATGTTGATGAGGGCATCTTGGTCAAAATAAGAATTAACAATGTAATTAATAGTCAACTAACAATTTCTCATAATTAAAAGACGGAGTATAAAGAAAATTAAGAATAAAAGTTGTTTAAAGAAATTACCCCCAAGACTATTATCAAGAATTATAAAAGTGCTAAAAGCTATGAAAATAAAATACCCCAAAAAAAGGGAAAACGAAACTTTTGATTTTCATCTTACTATCTCTCAATTATCGATTTGATGCCAATAGTTTGATCATTATTAATTTCATCCCAATGATGTAATTCTGTTAAAATGTTACTGTCATCGTCAGAGAATAAATTGACTTGGCACTACAGGTTTGTTGAAGACAGGTAAGCCCTTTTAACTGGCACCAGAAATAATATTATTTCCATAAAATAGAGATCTAGAAACAGGCTTATAAATACCATCAATATCTACTGGAGGGGCAGCAATAAAAGCGACAATAAATTTAGAAATTGCGGTCAATAATGTAGGGATCATCAAAATACCAAACCATCCAATATAAAGACGGTTTTCAGTAACCCTCTTTTCCCCAAGATGTCAGAGATCAAGCCAGTTTGAAGGAGGATGAAGCACGGTCTCAACATTGAATACATGCATCTCGTGAGCTTAAGTAGAACAACAATAATGGTGATTAACTATAATAACGATTAAATTACTGTTCTATATGACACACCCAGTTTTGTTGCTTCCTTGAGCTCTTTTGATTAAAATACGTTGCCACATTGAAACCAAAATGAATAGAATACGAAGTTGACTGCTGAACTTCACAAGCATGTCATAATCTTATAATCCGGGCATCTAAAAAATTCCCCTCCCAATATTAGCACTGGAGGAGGTGAGAGATAAAATGACCAGAAGCATAATCTTCGGCAGTAGAAATTATGCTTTATCAAGCCTAATCACAACAAGTTAATTGTGACGCGAATAGGATGATGCTTGGAAAGGTAATACAACAACCGAATCATAACATGATTTCAGCTCTGTTCTGAATAAAGTACTCAACAGTCAAAAAGCATGTTCAAGACTCAGTTGAATCATGGTTTTGTCTTGAAGAAGCAAGGAAAGGAGATTAAATCTGAACACCGGAAAACTATCAGACAGGGAAAAACTTAGTAGTCTGCAATAAACGTACTGCAACAGAGATTACTTATTCCCTTTCAGACCGTTCATGAGCAGCAATATGGTAACATCAAGCTTTCAAAGACTCTCCAGCTTTTACCAGATCTTGAAGTGCCTTAGAAATCTGGTCCTCTGTCAAACCTTCCAATCTGATGCCTTTCTCAACACCCAAGTCTGTGACATACAAGTAACACAGGCAAAATTACTTTGTGGACTTCTACTTGAAAGGATGCAACAACAGCAACAAATGCCCCTGTGAAAGATAGATTACAGATAACTGATCCTAATGTTAAGTCAATCGAAGAAAAGGCTGATGTGATTTTGCATATGGTGATTTTGAAAGATAAATGAAATTTTAGAAGAACTTGCTTCTATCACTTTTCTTCCAAAATGTCCCCATTTCTTTCATTCACTCCCCCCAACCCACCCGCCGGCACGAGAAAAAAAAAAAAAACACACACACAGCAGCATAAGTATCTTTTACAAACAATCATTCTACTTTTATTTTTTCTCGCAAAGAAAAAGGCCAAGATTAAAACTCTAGAAGTTTGGAATCAGATGTCTCTCTGTAAAAATGCAAATCCTAAGATTCAGTCTTACAACTCAACTGATGAGAAGAAATCAAACAGAGTTTAAAAATATTATGTTAAAAACATGGTTACAGTCAAACATGATATGCCATTCTACAAATTTCAAAGCAAGCATACAATAGATCCATGCAACGCGCAGACTTAAAAAACAGAGCTCAAACTCTGCATTAACAAATGAAGCTATAACAGAATTCAGCCTCAACACAGTAGTTTTCCTTTTCAAGTTTTGAAAATACCGACATAAATTAAGGGCACAAAAGGCAGTGAAATAGTGTCATCCAAAGGGAATACACGACTACAGCATAAGAAACTCAAATCACCAAAAAAACATAAAATAGGATTTACGGCAGGTGATACCATATCTTGCCCACAATTGAGGTTCGACCCCACTGCATTCACGGATCAATATTGGCAATTTGGGGTTCAATGTCTTTAGCTCCTTATAATTCTTTTCCACAAATGCCCTGGGATAACAATGAGGGCTCATATCAGGCTTAGATACATAGTAGATGTATTTAAGTTTAATCAGTGAGCAAATTGGATGTATATGGTTAGAGAAGTCATGAATATTTATCAAGAGAGAGTGCAATGTTTTAAAAGCCGGACCGGAAGTCGAGCCGGAAAGATCAACGGGTCATGGTTCAATCGGTCGGATCGGTCGGACCATTTGGTCAGACCGGTGATGCAATAATTAATTTAAAACAATATTATATACATATAATTAGTATATATGAAAAATATCAAATTATTAAATAATTTAGAAATGCATTTAAATAATCTAAAATTATAATGAAATCATTGAAAATGGACTAAAACCTTATATATTTAAATTTATGTATGTTTAAAATATTTAATAATATTACAAATTATCAATTCATTCAAATCAAAATATTTTTTTAAACGATAGACCAAATATCAAAACAAAAAGACTAGCGACTTACAATTTTAACACCACAATATATGAAATTTTCAATGAAATAATACTCTATGGTTATAAATAGTCTAAAAATATATTAGGATACTTAAGGGGATCAATTTTTTTATTTTTCTTCTATTATTTTTAAATTTTTAGTATTTTTTCAGTCAGGCTAAAAAACCGTCTGGTTTTCTGAAAACCGTTCCGGTTCCCGGTCCAACTCCGGTTTCCGGCTTAATAACGGCTCAACTCCGGTCCAATCCGGCTCAACTATATGAACGGTTTTTTGATCCAAACCGAGCCGTTAACGAGTCCGGGTCACGGTTCAACCGGTTCGACCGTCCGGTCCGGTCCGGTTCTTAAAACATTGAGAGAGTGTACTACAATTATGACCTTGTGGTTGAGCTTGCAGGCGATGTCTGGCACATGAGAAACCGAACCTCCTTCAGGTACTTCGAAAGATTTCCTCTCCATGCCATTGCTAACCTGGGGGCTCAAATATAGAGTATGAGAAATTAAATTGCCTTGCCAGAAAACAACGAGGAAGCAAAGCCAACTGTTAATAAACGATCAAGACATTTAAGAAATCCGTCGTATATCTAAATGTCGCTAGGCATATTAAATTATCCTGATCAGAGTTTTGTTCTGAAACAATGTACATGTACAATCAAGTCCTCAAATTTAATTTGCATCAGAAATAAAACATAAACAAATAAATACATCATCAGAAATGAAAAAATTTTAGACCCAGAAGGGGAGTCATTATCAGAAATCAGTATCTAGACAAAGATTAAACAACAGATACCACAGTGGTGATTGGGGGATACTGGGATAAATAAACCGACGGAAGAGAATAAAAATGAGAAGATATTTCTGAAATTAAATGAAAATAAAACAGAGAAATAGAATATAAGCGATAGAGGGAAGACAAAGCTCACTCCGTTAAGTTGCTCTCCGTCTCTCAGACGACCACCGTCTTCCTACCTCCTCAGATCTCTCGATACGCACCAGTGAAAAGGTCGCGTCCCGATTGCCTCCTTTTTCCCCGATGTCCTCTTCGGCTGCTCTTGGGATACGACGGCGTTTCTACGAAGCTATGGAATTTATTCGGTTTTGCTTTTTTTTTTTTTTTTTTTTTTTTTACCAGAGCTTTTTTTGTTTTTTTAAGGACCATAGTTTTCTCATAAAAAATTAAAAATAAATAAGTGCTTACATTTTATTTAATACTAACAAGTCAGATTTAATCTTTACAATTTTAATTTTAAATAAAACAATTGGATTTATAAATATGAAATTTTGATTTATGAACATTAACGTGTAAATTTAATTATAGATTATACAATTTACCTTATAGATATTAAATAAATCTCTTCAATCTTGTTAGTATCAAATAAAATTTGGAAGACTTATTTATGTTTAATTTTGGTTTATCGCTGGCAGAAAACATTTTGGTTTATCGGAAGCTTCAAAAATGCTGAAATGTTACCCAAATAACATCACCCTCAGGTTACAAGGTAGGATTAAACCATTAGACTACAAAGCTATTAATAAGAAAATTTTGAATTTAGCTGTGAGTTATCTCCCAAAAATATTTGATGACCATTTCAGAAGAAGAAGAAGAAGAAAGTAACAAGATTCTAAAACACCGAAATTTTATCAAAATTAAATTATACTTCCAAAAAAGAATTAAAATATAATAATTCAATTATTACCAACCAAGATCTGACTAATGAATCATAAACCATTACTTCGACCAATTTAATGAACCAAATCATAACATTGCTATCAAGTAGTTTGGATTTAAGTTGGATTAGATTTAAAACGGAAAATGTTCTTCCAGTACAGAAGAAAAATTCATTGTTTACCATGTTTGTATTGTGGAATTGTTATTTTTTTATTTTTGGTTACAATATTGTGGAATTTTAATTGACATACATTCAAACAAAGCTTTTTACCCCACAAAAATAAGATATTTGACCATTCAAATAAAGCTACAGGACACAAGAGATCCATTTAACAACCCACCCATTCATTAGGAAAGAATTATATAATCAAAATGGTTTAAGATTCCAGCTAAATAAATATTAAGTTGAAACTCGAAGCACGCAATGACACAACAAATTGCTAAAAAGAAAACGAAATAAAAACCATAATCTTGGTAAGTGCCTTTGTTCAACAAATCATAATATATATATATATATATATATATATATATTAAGTATATTTTGGTCTTGATAATCGCATCAGGTTTCAGTTTGGTCTCACAAAGTAGTTACCATCAATGCATTTCATTGATGTTTTGCCGCAGCATGAGATCCTTCGTCCTTGAATATTTACAAGTGCTCCACAGACCTCATGATCAATCACAAGAATACTTTTTATCTCTCTTTCTGCTCAGAATCCAATTCATCTCTTTCTAGAAATCTTTATTTGCACCAGCCAAAGCACCAACTCTGAAGAAACGAGGTTTTGAAGATAGAAGCATCAGTATAGGGAAAAACTACAAACTTTCAAAACTATTCTCAATATAACAAAAGTACTGCTAGGTACGGTTTCATCATTGTATCTGACATGGTTACCATAGAAAACAACTATTTCTTTTTTTGACCAGATACCGCAACTATTCCAAAGCACAAGTTACGGGCAAATCCAAACTTACCATATAAACAAGGAATAAATAAAATTCTTATGATAATTGTAAACCTTCTAGAGTATATAATCAACCAAAATAGTAATCCAAGTTTCCACCATGCTTAAATCAAAGTAATATGCAATAACCAAGTTTTCCGCACAAGTCTGTGCATAGTTATTATAACTTTTGAGTTAGTAAGATTTCATATCAATATTGGAAGAATAAGTTTGTAGGTGCTCTTACAATTTATTCAATATGTAGGTGTACCTATAAAAGCCTAAGAGGTTCATATTTTGGATTTTCAAGTAACCAAAGAATATTGGTAAAGTACGTATCTGTGCAACTTGATTCTGGCCACAACATGCATCATACGTTGTTGGCATACCTTTGCTTTGTCTTTAATATCTTGGTTCCGGACAATATATGGTCTCTGAGTGGGTGTGCCGGGCGCTTGTCCGCCACCAGCTCTCTCCTCCTTCACTTTGTTGAAAAGTTGAGTATAACCATCAGCTGATGCAGGGTCATTTTCATCCCACTCGCCAAATTTGGGAACAGCAGCAGCTTTGTCAGGCTGCAAGACCGGAATGCTAAAGATTAGAATTTAATTCCAAGGTCTGAGTTTATTCATAAAATCAGGGAGCCAATTGGTACTGGGCTGTCTCGAATGACCAAAATGTGGTTTTACTCTTGATGTGATATGTATTAAAACTTTTCATTTCTTAAGAATAGATGTTACAATAAAACAGCAGGGCAGGATAAATAAAGAACTAACAGATTCATCGCCTCGATGAGGTGTTCTGAGTCGGGATCTTCCTGGTGTACCATGGCTGCTGTCGTAGGAATTCTTTCCTTCCCAAGAGGGACTATCTCTGCCTGGGGTCTTCACCAAGCGATGAAGGGGTGAGCGTTCAATAATATACTCAGACCCAGTACCTTGTTTTGCAAATTTCTGACGAGTGTCAGCAGAACCAACTCCCTGACGATGTGTTGAATCATTGCCACTTCTATCACCCATACTGTCATGACGAGCTGGAAAATCAGTAGAAGGCTTAGGAGCAACATCATCCGTGCTCTTTTGTAATTCAAGTGTTGATCTCACTGATCCTTTTCCATTTTCATCCTCTGAATTAACCATGGGTTCAGTAGGTGGGAGATCAGAAGAAGATGAATTATCATGAACTGAATCTGGATTCCGCTCAGGAACATTTGGATTCATCCTTGAGCCAGTTCGATCTTTTCGTGCCTTCTCAAAATAAGCTGTATAAGGAACATTATCTTCATTTTCCCAACTGCCAAATCTTGGTACTTGAGCGCGTTGCTGTCACATTGACACATTAAAAAGAGCCCGTCAACCTCCCAGTAAAATATCAATAAATAGAACCCCAAATACAAGTTTTAGTTTGCTTCCACAAATCAGGATAAGGGTCAATGGTGAAGAAAATGGTGAAGAAAAGAAAACATTTAAAAAACAAAAAGCTCGTTTGTCTTACCTGGCAATGAAGATTAAATTTTGGCACAAAGGGGAGGATGATGTAGAACGCCGAAAAACAAGGGAAGGAGAGAAAGGGTGGGAGAAGTGGTCGAAAGAATATGAGGTAGGAGAAAATAATTGAAAGCTCTTCATATTATTCAATGCCAGAGGTCGTACCAATGAAGAGTTTTAGCACATATTTATAGTGCCCTAATCATCTAAAAGATTACATTGATTCAAACAAAATCCTAAATCAAAACAGAAAACAGAATCAAATATCCTTCTTTCTCTTACAAGCCACAAAAAAAGAAAGAAAGAAAAGGAAAGAAAAAGATTCAGCGTGTCCAAGGTTACTTCCAAAGAGATGGTGATGATGATTGATGACATACATAGTTCAGTGTTGGAAGAATTTATTTGATCCTTCCCTTTCAGCCATCTTGTGGCAAAATCCTATGGTAAGTATTAGCTTATAAATGTACTTTTGTGCATAATCAAACGAAAAAATGTAGCCATTTGAGTAAAAAAAAAGTGCTAAAAATAGCATCTTTAACAACTGTTGACGGTGGCTGATTTAGCATCACATAAAGCTTAATCTCAAATCTAGGGCATTTCATACTAAAGTTTTCCTCATAAACTCAAAAAGAAAATCATGCAAAGCACCACAACAAAGCCAGCACGATAATCTCTTCCAATGCAAATGAAATATTAGATATTAGACTTCAAAATTCAAGCACTTCTCCAACCAAGTAAAGCAAATTACTGCAAATATGGCACACTGTAATCAGAGAGAGAGAGAGCTGTGTGCTCGGAAGAAATGTATTGTTTGATTGAACTCCCTGTAGCAATATAAACAGAAAATAGGGTCCTCCTTGTAAAAGTAGCTATCTCCAACAACAAACAAGGGAAAACTAATATCTCGAACGAACAAACTTGTACAGCTTAACTATCAGCTTCTATTGATTCAACATGAGGAAACACCAAAGAGATGAAAGCGTGTTTTGGTTCTATAACTTCATACAAAATTTCAGTTTCATCCCTTAATTTCATAAAGTACCTTTTCGGTCCTCTAAATCACTGATATAATTTTTTATGCGAATCATTGCTATTTTTAGAAATTATGCTTAGTAAGTCAGCATTTGAAAAATCTAAAAATTTAACATGTTAGGATTGAACAGGGAAAGACACACTTAAGGTAAGTTAAAGGACAAAGATGCACCTTTGCCACAAATACCGTGTTGTTAAGTTTTCCTTTTCCATAGTCCTCACCAAAAATTTATTTCAGGGTAAGGAGAAAGAAAGGAGCCTCGATTCATCATGCTATTCTTAACTTAAACACTATGGTTTATAATTATAAAAGTAGCTGCCAGTTACAAGGATAAACCAATAAAACTAAACATCACGAGATTCTAACTGAATATGCTCGATCTGGCTTCCAAACAGAGTCTAACTTCGTTCAACTTGATAAAGACATCAGAAGATGAAGAAAAAGAAATTCTCTACTTTTAGGGAGGGGAAAGGCAATATAATGCAGGTGATTGAAACTCCGATTTCTCATCAACACAGAGAGACAAGGCGTGACGAACCTAAGAAAAAGAGAACTTACACAAGAGAAGAGAAAGAAAAAACTTACCGCCATTTCTTTCTGAGCTGAACTTGCAAAGAAACTCAGAAATTGCCGGGACTAATTCGTCAAGAAATTAAGCTTGACGGACCAGACCACGTAGAGAACTCAACGCAAGAAGCCCCTCCACAGACTTGAAGGACCCAGCGAAATGAGAGAGAGAGGTTTTACTATCATTGACCGGTGCCACCGGTAACGTCTGACCATTCTCTTCCATCTTGCTTTCTCTCTGTAAATTCCGAGTTTCGTCGCTGTTTCAGAGCTTTTCCCTCGTTCAACACTGCAATCTGGTGTTTTCCTTTTTCTTTTTCTTTTTTTCAGCGGTGAAAAAAATTCTACAAAAATTTACTTTGAGAAAACAGCCAAAAAAAAAGTTAGAAATAAAAAAAAAATTGCAAATAAGAACCGTTATAATATTACTATTGATTTTGATAAGAATTAATAAACAAATAATAACAATTTTATGAATGATCCTTATATACGATTTTTTTATTTTTAAGATTTTTTTTTTTTGCGATTTTTCATTTACTTTGCCACAAGTGTTTATTTCTCTTAAAGTTGAAATTTTTTTTAGGAAAAAAATTCTTTTCCTTATCTGTTATCCTCTAAAAAATTGGAAAAATTGGGAATAAATCTCTTCTTAAAAAATTAATCGGTATGTAGTCTCTAAAAATTTTGTGCAACCCAACTTTCCTTATTTGTAATTCATTTTCCCTTATTTACAGTCATCTTCTCTTATAGGATATGTAACATTAAACTTTCTTTATGGGTAAGTTATCTTCTTTATATGTAAATTAGTTTCTTATACCTAAATAATATTTCGTGCAAATTATTTTCTTTTTATGCAGTTTGGGTATTTGAATTAGTGTTTTGAAAGTGATTTTTCAGATTTATCTTGTATCCAATTCAACTTTCTTTATCCAATCTATCATCTAGTTACTATTTGTTGACTAAATTTTTAATGAGGGCCAATTTTTCCAATGAAGGCCAATTTTTCCAAGATATTGTATCCGACACTATCCTATATCTTTCCATAGAATATGAATATGAATAAAAGTTTAATTAATTATATTACTAACAAATAACAAAGGACTTTGTACTTTAATGTCTGCTAACTCCCAAGATCCCTATGTTTTTATCTAAAATTAGACTCTGTTCTGATACATCATTTATCACTCATTCCATAATTATTTATGAGAAAGAGTGACAAAGAATAAGATAAAAACAGCCATTTCATTTATTTTCACTAATATTAATATTCGAGTTCTTCATACAATAAACTAATTGAGATGAAATTTGAGATATAAACTAAATAATGATTTTATAATATGATTTTTCGAATTTCACAAAAGCAATTGGGTGGAGGAAAAACTAACTACTAAATAAACAAGTAATATAAAGGACGTTCCGACGTTGTCGCCGGTCAACAAAAAAAAATCAAAGGACGATGTTGCCAGCCGGGTATGTTTGCTTTTGTCGGCAGATTGGTTTTAGCATTATTGACTATTAACTATTGTGTCCAGGACCTCCCACATCTTTTAATCTTCTTGATTTAAGAAAAAAGTGCTTAAACTCATTCAACGAGTTATTTTTCACTTATCAACAAAGTATGCTTCCAATGGTGTTTTGGGGTAATGGCACAAAAGCTTCTTATCTTGGCAGATCAAGTGAATGTTTGGTGTCTGAGAAAAGTATTTTTGAAAAGTATTTTTTCACAAATCAAAACATACTCTTCCACATATTTGTTCGTATATCATAAAATTATTTTTGAAATCATTGTTTGTATTTCATCCGAACACTCCCTAAATAAACAAAGTAGGGTGATGTAAATTTATTATAGATTTATTTTCTTAACCTAGGATTTTAGGCTCCGTAAATATCTTGATATTTAGGTTGACCCTATTAGAAATAAATCATACTATCTCTGATATTTAATATAAAAGCTAGTTGACTAATTTGAGTATATTAAAAAAATTAATTAAGTTAGTTATTTATAATAAATAGGTATTGTCTTTTCTAAAATATCGTTGCTAATCAAGTGTATTGGTTAGAACTATCATTATTACAAGGACTATCTCATGAAAGAATAAATAAATATAATAAACAAAATAAATTGAGATCTTATATTTAAGATCAAAATAAAATTAAATAAATAATTATATTAAAAGATGAGGTAGTAAATCACAAGTTTAACACCAAGTAGTGAGTCAACAGAGAGAAAAATTTGAGCTTGGAAAGCGAGGTTATTTTCTTAAGCAGCTCGCCTACCACTCTGTTTTATCTTGTGTCAAACTTCCTCAACACATTGTGCTTACATTGACTCACGATCCATTGATTTGCCTTCCCCCCCCCTCTTGGATTCATATTAAATAGTGATTTCAGTAAGAAAAATTTTATTTTAATAATTGTCTTTATGTCATTTATGCTTATTCTATAAAAATATTTTCAAAACAGGTTGTTAATTACATTATCAAACTTGTTAATATTGTTATATGATTTGTTAACAAAAAATTCTAATTTATTAGGCTCTCAAAAATCTCTCAATATCAAAATACCTCTCACATCACATGGTAAATAATGTTATTAGAGTTGTTATATTATTACAAGAATTGTTAACCGTATTATTAAAGTTGAAAAAAAATCGCTCTTTTCACAAGTTCCTAAAAAAAAAGTTGTTAATTAGATTATGAAACTTGTTAATACTGTTACATAATTTGTTAGTCATGTTATAGAAGATGAAAATTTTTTAATTTATTATGCATTCACTAATCTTTCAAAAACTTTGTGATACGTAAGCGAATGCCAAATAATATCTGTACATTTACTTATGCCATTTATTATCCTGCATAATAATGTGAAAATTTTTCAACTTTTGTAAACGTAGTTGATAAGTTATATAATGATATTAACAAGTTTAATAATGCAATTAATAACTTGCTTTTAAGGAAATTGTGAAAGTAAGATTTTTTTCAATTTCAGTTATACGGTTAATAACTATTGTAAAGATATTAATAATTCTAATAACATTATGGACTACATGATTTGAGAGGTATTTTGATTTTAAAAGATTTTTAAGTGTCTAATGAATTGAGAATTTTTTAATTTCTGTAATATAGTTGACAAGTTATATAACGGTATTAATAAGTTTGGTGACACAACTAATAATTTGTTTTCAAAATGTTTTCATAGAATAAGCATAAATAATATGAGGAATATGATTATTTCGGCAAATTTTAAAAAATTCTATTTGTTCATGTTTAACTAAAAAGGCACATGCATTGTCCACAGTCAAAATACATATCAATTACTGCAATTCTAGAGACTCGCTCCAAATCCAGTCCTATGAATGGATGTTCCCAACTCGAGACAATCGATCTGTGAACAAGTGCACTATGAGACAAACAAAGTCAGGCTCATAGCAGACTAATTTGGTAATTGGATAGTGGGTTTCTCATTCCAGATTGGTTTATGCAGTTGCAGTGTCTTGGAGGCGGAAGCTTAGGGTATAGGGACTAAAACTGGCCTGAGATTTTGGATTCAAGAAAGTTATACTTGAATTGCAAAAAGTTTGGTTGATTCTCTAGCTGAAGATCATCCTACTCCTTCTTGTAGCCTTCTGTTCTTACAGATTCATGATTCGTTGATGTATGACTGGGAGATCAGGTTATGTTTTACTGGAAGGCAAGCAAACAATGCTGTTAATGCGTTGGCCAAGTTGGGGGATACTTGTTTCTTCCTATTTTGATGCCTGCCCGAGTACTATGAGGAACTTGGTAGAAAAGGACTGGAATCTAATTCCACTTAGCTCCTTTTTTTCCTGAACTTCTCAAGAAAAAAAGAAAAAGGGGTCAGGTTCACAGCCTAGACTCTACATCCCTACCAATGATTCCAGTTTTTTTCTGAGCTAAGCCCAAAATCAAAGCAGCCCAAAGTATGATATTTTAGTGAGGCATCAAAGAGAACACTTGAAAAGCAGGTCTCCTATTTTCAAATCAAGCAACCTGCTGCACACCTTCAATGCCACAGTAAAAACAAAACTACTGGGTCTAACTCCTTTGAAAATGTCCTGTGGTAAATATTTAGAACTTCATTTGGATACCCTTTATGATGATAATATGCAGCAAGCAC